CCACTGCACTCTAGTCTGGGCGACAGAGTGAGACTCCAACTCAAAAAAAAAAAAAAGATTAAGTTCAAATGTAATTCATTACTATTGGGTAATGAGTGTATTGGTGTTTAAATCCCTTGAACAATATTGATGTGTATTTTAGGATAGCATATAAAGAAGTTTCAGAAATTTTAATACACATTTTAACTACCAAATAGTGAACAAACATGAATGCTGTGAAGTTTGTTACTGGTACAATTAGTCATGTTAATAAACTTTACTATAACTTAATCTACCCAAATTTCATTTATTTATTTATTTTTCTTTTTTTTTTTTCTTTTTGAGTTGGAGTCTCACCCTGTTGCCTAGACTGGAGTGCAGTGGCCGCTCCCGGCCACCACAGCCTCGCCTGCTGGGCTCCGGCGATCCTTCTGCCTCAGCCTTCTGAGTAGCCAGAATTACAGGCACGCGCTACCATGCCCGGCTGATTTTTTTATTTATTGTAGAGATGAGGTCTTGCCAAGTTGCCCAGGCAGGTCTCGAACCCACGGGCTCAGGCAATCCACTCACCTCAGCCTCCCAAAGCGTGGGATTACAGGCTGAGCCACCGAGCATGGCTGATTTTTAGTTTCTTAAAGAAGGTGACTTTACTTCTTTGTTGTTGATTTCTAGCTTAATTTTATTGAGATCATAGAACAGGCTGTATACAATTTTGATTTCTAAAAATAGATAATGGTTTGTCCAGGATATGGTTAATATTTTGTAAGTGGTCTGTGTGTGCTAGAAAAGAGTTATTGAGAGTAGTGGCCTATATGCTCCCATTAAGTCAAGTTTGTTCATGTTTTCAATTCATGCATATTTTTGCTGAATTTTTTATTTCTGAGAGATGTATATAAAATACATCACTAAAGTTGTACATTTACATTTACATTTCTCCTTGTAGTCCTGTCAATTTTTTAAATTTTATATATTTTGAGGTTTTGTTATTAGGCATGTTCAAACTTAAATATTATTACATTTGTGTGGTGAATGGATTTTTTTGTATTAGGAAGTGATTCTGTTTATCTCTAGTAATGTTTTGACCTTAGAGTCTATTTTGACCTGATATTAATATGGCTACACCCAGGCCAGGCTCGGTGGCTCAGCCTGTAATCCCGTGCTTTGGGAGGCCGAGGTGAGTGAATTGCCTGAGCCTGCGGGTTCGAAACCCACCTGGGCAACTTGGCAAGACCTCATCTCTACAATAAATAAAAAAAAAAAAGAATTAGCCGAGTGTGGTAGTGTGCGCTGTAGTTCCAGCTACTTGGAAGGCTGAGGTGGAAGGATCACCAGAGCCCAGCAGATCCAGGCTGTAGTGGCCAGGAGTGGCCACTGCACTCCAGTTTGGGTAACTGAGTGAGACTCCAACTCAAAAAAAAAAAAAAAATTTATAGCTACACTCATTTCCTTTGGGACTAGATTGCTTGCCATCAACTAGGTATCATCACCATTCCTCTTATCATTTTTCTCTGCTTTGAAGGGGAAATTTAGAACTATAGTTCCCAGTATCCCTCTCCTTTTATGATTATAGATAAAATTCTGCCAATGAGGGCCAAGATTTGGAAGGTACGTAAGGAACAACCATTAATCTTCTTGAGTATCATCTACTATTGTTTTCCTGAAAGCAGATTTCCTGTGAATCTGCTTTCAGGAAATCACCCAGCTGTTTCAAAGATTGTGTATGTCTCTAATACCCTATATTAAATAAATCTGTTTATTTAGAATGTCTTGGAGAGGCTTCTGTTTTCCTGACTACCCTGGCTGAAATGCTTGATATTTCTTCTTGCAACCTTTTATTTTCAAAAATCTGTATCTTTATTTTTTTTGTTTGTTTGGTTGGTTGGTTTTTCTTTAGAGACAGGGTGTCACTATGTTGCCCAGGTTGAATTTGAACTCTGGCTCAAGCAATTCTCCCACCTTAGCCTCCCAAGTATTTGGGATTATAGGTATGAGTCACCATGCTTAACTGTTATGTTTTAGATACATATCTTATAAAAATAATATAGTTAGTTTTTTATATCTGTAATTTTTAAAGAAACATTTAGCCCATTTACCTTTTGTTTATATTCTAAATTATTTGGGGTTTAAAATCTTACTTGAGTTTAAGTTCATGAACTTATTTTGTGACTTCTATTTGTTCTACAGGTTCTATTTTTTCCCTTCTTTATTTCTATTTATTTATTAATTTTTAAGACAGGGTCTTGCTCTGTCACCTAAGCTGGAGTGCAGAGGTGCAATCATAGCTCAATTCAGCCTCAAACTCCCGGACTCAAGCTATTCTCCTGCCTCAGCTTCCTGAGTAACTAGGATTATAGGCATGTGCCACCATGCCCAACTATTTTTATGTTGCCTACATTGATCTTGAACTCCTGGCCTTGAGCGATTCTCTTGCCTCTGCCTCCCAAAGAACTGGGATTACAGCCATGAGCCACCACTCCCAACTCTTCTTTTAAGTTGATTACAAATGGTTTTTCCTTCTATTTCTCCCACCCTTTGCTACAACTATAGGTTATATCCTGTATAGTTAGGAAGGGGAGGAGTAGCATAATAACGTTTTCAAATGATTGTGGAGCTTCCTCTTTGATACTATCAAAACTGAAAAAATAGTGTTTCTTAAAGGTTAGTTGCAATATGGAATCTGAAACCATGTCAATGAACATTTTCATGCTCTATTACACTAAATTCCATTGGCCTGTCTTATACTTTGAATGGATCTTTTTTTTTTTTTGCGTTGGAGTCTCACTCTGTCACCCAGATTGGAGTGCAGTGGCTGCTCCCGGCCACCGCAGCCTTGACCTGCTGGGTTCTGGCGATCCTTCCGCCTCAGCCTTCCAAGTAACTGGAACTACAGGCGCACGCTACCACGCCCGGCTGATTTTTTGATTTATTGTAGAGATGAGGTCTCACTGCCCAGGCGGGTCTCAAACCCGTGGACTCAGGCAATCCACTCACCTCAGCCTCCCAAAGGCGTGGGATTACAGGCTGAGCCACTGAGCCCGGCTAATACAAGGTCTTTAAAACCTTTTAACTACATTTACCTCCCACAAGCTTATATATTATTATTATTTATTTCACATATATCTTAAATCCATGAGTTATAATAATTATTATTTTATAAAGTCATCATATTCCTTCTTGCTTTTCACATCTTCCATGTGGGCTCATGTTACCAATAAGTCTTTTAGTATTTCCTGCAGTGAGGGTCTATAGATGGCAAATTCTCAGATTTTCTTTCATTAATCTGAAAATGTTTTTATT